TAATATATTTATAGAATATCCCTTAAAAACAAGTATAAAAGTGGAAAAAATATCACTTGAAATTTATTTATCGGTACATTGCGGATGGATCATGATAATTCTCATATTTTCTGTTCCGATGCACACAAGAATTCTCGAGTTTTTATTATCGATAAAGTATTTATATGGAAATATATCTGACCATTGAGTAAAACTATCGATCTACAATACGTTATAAATAATTAAAATTCGTTTTGAAGAAATTGATTTATTTTCGTCAACTTTTATATACCAATCGAAATATATTTCAATCTCAGCCTTCTAAAAATATCCCACGAATACATTAACACTTTAATATAATAATATCCTTCTTATTCCAATATTTCTTATATATTATTTCACATATTATTCATACTTTTCTCAATTTTTTCCGGCCAAACGTAACAACACATCTCAATTGCTTTACCAAGCATCCAAAAAAGAAAAGTAAAGAAATATTTCCTCCATATCTTTTATCCACACCTTGATCGATTTAAAAATTGTCGAACCTCTCTTATATTTGTCTCTATAAAAAAAAAAGTTCGAAAGAGAAAGAGAAATGAGAGCGCAGCTTAAAAGTATCGAACGAGTCGAGGAGAGAAGTTACATGTGAAGCACGAGTGGTTCAACGTACGCTCTACGCGTGGAATTTCACGATAACGGTGAAAGTTTTCGCGGTCGTTACAACCATACCAACGTTAAATGTAATAACATTGAGGAGAGGATCGTGGATTTTGCGTCCCAGGTGTTCGCATTTCGTGAATAATCACGCGAACCGCGCACGATATTGCGAGAGTTTATTATGATTTTACTACGATGAGGAGTTTTATAGTTACAAGTATTAGGTTGTCCAAAATGTTGACATAACATCAGATGATGTAATAAGAAAAAAAATTGTTGCGACTCTCTTTTATCTCTTAAAATTTTTTTTTTTATGAATAAACACGTTTCTTGGATTACAAAGTAGTTGATGTGTTATGTAGCTTTTTTAGATATACGTCGTTTTTATAATATTGTATATTTATTATGATATTCTGTGTATCATTTTACGTAATAGTATATGTTTCAAAGTTTTCAACAATTATTTGTGTAATGTTGATCGTTTTTTAAAAAGACTTTTGAAAAGTGTTTCTTCATTATTGTATATTTCTTCATTACAGATTTCAATACATATAAAATTTTGATACGTATGTAATTCCAATTTCATGCTAATGTAATTAAGGATATATATCCTATTTGATTAGTAGAACAATGAGGAATAATATTTGTATGGTAGATAGATATTATATTTGAATAATGATGGATAACGGTGGTGCTAATGTATCATTATTAAAGGACAATATAGAAATTTAATTAAAACGTGAGACAATCAGATTTTCTTTCAAAAAAATATATTCTAGCTTTACGAAGAATAATTAAGTTCAACGATTAATTAACAAATTTAGCATTAAACTCTTAGCACTGTAATATCATAGACCAGTCAATATTTGAAGGAATTAGTGGTTTAAGTGGTAATTAGGATTCATTGCTCTTTGTTGGTCGTCAAAGTTAAAAGGAATCAAGTGGCTATTGCAAATTACGATCGTTGGAATGAACATTTCTTGGATGGAAATAAATTTAAAAATATAAGAAAAAAAGTAATATAACAACACTATAATGATCCTCTTAACGCAACTTTAAAAACATAACTTCGGATTTTATAGTTTTGAACTTTGCACTTGTGAGCACTAATGTACAATTTAATTATTCAATTAGAAGTTGATGGAACAACGATATAAAAGTTATGTTAAAATTTCACGACTTGTAGAAGATATAGAATTGATAAGATGACGCTTAAAAGAAATTATACATACAAGTATAATTATACAAGTATAATTTTTCTTCTTTTATTCTCAAAATTTTATTTTTACGTATAGGATATATATGGAAAAGATATAAAATTGAAAGCAATTATCCTTTAACGATTAACGATAACTCTCAAACTCCTTTATTTATCTCGAATAAAATTGATCACAATCAAACGTTTCCCCGATTAACTATCGTACCATTTTTTTTTCGAAAAGATACATTTGCCAATTTATCACTTGATCGCGTTTTAAAGAACAAATTCGCCAACGAGATGATTCAATTCGCGCTACGTGATGCATGAAATTTTTCTCTCAAAAGGAAAATACGAGGAAATGTTTTCTAGAAAACGAATGAAATCAGTGGCGAGTTCAGACTCGCGTTACGACGGTGAACTTGAGTCAACATATAATGTCACTTGAAGAAGATTGAAAAAGCTTCGAAGACCCGCAATCGAATAAATTCTTGTTTGGATTCCATCTTATGAAAAGGCATTGGCTCGTTCCTACGCCTACTTTAGATCTATCGAAGCCTCGACGGATTGCAACAAATGTTCATTTTCAATTATGGCATTCTTGCCTCGTAATTCACTTTCTTACCTTGAACTTGAATTTTAAACGCTTTGGCCTCTTTTCTTCGCTCAGTTTCATTAATTACATTCATTTTCTTGCCAAATATTTATACGTAAGATATACATTTAAAAATTTAAAAAATAAAAACATGTAATATAATTCGATCACAATGATGAAACGATTAATTAACACATAGAGATCTCTTAATTCTATCAACTTTTAATCAAAAATTCCAATTTTCCAATTTTCCCATTTAACATTTCCCTTTCTTGAAGAATGTAACGAACTACCCTTCTCCCTCACACAATCCAACAACGATAATTCCAATCCTGACCTACACTAAATCCCACTGTGAACCATTGTGCAACCCGACAAACCATTCTAAAACCTAAAAAACCTCTGCCAGAATGAACTCACTTCCCCTTCCACTACCTTTTAAGATAACCTTTTCAAGGATCGTCGAGATTCGAGGCAAGGGGGGAGGTAAAAAACGAGTCGTGGATGGTTCTTCGAGTGGCGTTGCTCGTAAAACGCACAACTTGTAGCGGCGTAACGAAACAGCCGATACATGAAGCGACCCTTGAACGAGGGACGTTGGAAGGTCGCGCGGCACGAGCCGAAACGCGAGATACGAATCGTTGGAAGGCCCGCCGGGACCGAGGTTACCGAACGTAATAGAAATTTACCTCGCTGTTATTTCACTCTTCCTTCCCCTTAGACCATCTCTCCCCTCTCCCCGGTCGTCTCGTTCACCTTACATAAAAGAAAGGGGCGGATCGATGAAGGCGGCGGATGTCTCGTGATGCAAACGTTCGACGAGGATATGCCCCTCGTGTTTCGACCTCGAGTTCGTTCCTCGAACGTCCTTCGTATGAGCGGATTAACGGGAGAAGGGGAGGAGGGTGGCATGGAGGGTGATCGACCGTTAGAATTAATCCGCGCCTCGTCATGCTCCACGTTCCATGTGGATCGTTGTTTAATCGTCGTAAGAAACGGATCAAGAAACGTCGATACGTCAATCATTGGAGGGGGAGGAGGGGTCGTGGTTGCTGCGTGTTATTGTTATATTGGCAAGTATTGTTGGGAAAGGGATGATGGGTTTGACGGGGATTTCTTCGATTTATCGTCGATGGATTTGTAATGGATTTATATACAAACATTGTATTTGGTTTGCAAGCTATGTTATTTATCGTTATTGAATTTTTTAGAGTAGATAATGTTTCTTCGAATTGACGTTTGATCGTTTGAGATTAAGCTTTTCGATTTACGATCGAAACTAAATGACGATTTAGTTTCTCTTTAATGTACTTGTCGTCGATTTGGAGAATTTTTTATAATATTTCGTGTAATTTTTTTGGAAATAGTTCGAATTTTTCTTGTATTTCATTTTTAAAAATATTATCACGTATAGTGAACACCGTACAAAATAAACATTTCGTTTTTAAATAAAATTGCCTTGCGATTAATAAGATTGTCAAATTCTTGAAAGAATAAATACCATTATGAACTGATGGAAAATTGTCGAGGAGGAAAATTACAAATGAATGAAAAATTCAAGTTAAATTGTGGAGAAGATAATTTGATTAAGGTAGGTCAACAACTTAACGGCAGTTGTTTTTAAATGAAATAACTATGGCGTAAGATCTCTTCAGAATCTGAAACAGAATGCTCCCCTTTTGAATAGTATCTCACTTTATCCAAAACGAATCGATTGCCAAAAAAAAAAAAAAAATGTTCAGTTTAATCCAATACGATTAATGTATATATAGATTCGATACTTGAAATGATCGTTTATTATTTCGAAATATTCGTGATAAATCCATCGAAACGAAAACTGTTTTATTACATGCTCGAGTCATCGAGTGACGAGTGAGTTTTAACATTGTTATCATCTCGTTAACACGTTGCAAAATCTTGTTAAAAATATATACTCATTCGATAAATAATAAAATTCAAACTATCGTATTTCTTTTTAGAATGACATTGATCTATACAAGCTCCAATTTTTTTCATCTTTCTTTTTTAATCGTTTATTCTATATATATATATTATTCTATATAAATTATACGATAATGAAATATAGGAGACAGATTTTATAAAATATGAAACCAATATAAAATGCACTTTATGAAAAAACTTTCAATATTGATCTAAATTTCAACGTGAAATTTTCATTAGATAATAGAGTCTTAAAAAGAGGTAAAAGAAATTGATGAAATTATTTAAAAAATGTTGATTTTCAGGTAAATTCATTCTAAATTTTCATAAAATAAAAGAGAAATATATATTTTTGAGGGAATTTAAATCATCGATAAAAAAAGAAAGAAAATAAAATAAAATTTAAATCAATAATCTTTTTCGATTAATCTCGTTCGATTAAAAACTCTATTATGAATATAATATTCTTTTACAACGCACTATATCCGTTTTTTAAACTTGGAAATCAACAAGAGGGAAAAAAAGTCATGTTAAGAAAAGACGAAGGAGGGAGAAAAGTTTCGTAGCTAATTTCCGCGGCATCAAACGCGTTCTTAAGCGGTAAGGTGGATTGCTTTTTCGACTTACGAGAAAATCAACTGGGTCGTCTGGACGCAAATTTGCAACTTCGATGAGTCCTTGCGTCAAGGTTGGCAACACGTATTTCATCAAATAGTTGCGCAAAGGGAGGCTAGCCAGGCAGAGTTTCTCTTCCTGTTCCTCCGTCAGTTTTTCCATCAGATTCGTCTACGGATACGGAGAAATTTTTATTCTTCAAGGGGAAATTATTCTTCGCGATAAGTTAATTTAAAAATCGTAATTTGTGATAAAAAAATTTGTTGTTTATTGCACGTGACTAAATTCATAATAATTAGAAAAAATAATTATTAAAAAAATATAAAAGAAAATTATTCTTCGTGATATATTTAAAAATTAACGTTAAATCGAAATTTTATTATTTTTATACATTACATATAATTTTATTATTTTTATACTTTTGACTAAGTTTGTATTATTAATAATACGAATACGATTTATGTTATTATAATATAAATGAAAGATATATTACAATGCAAATAATTTTTAAATAAAGAACAATACTTTTAATTTTTAATTAATTTGTTTTCAGCCTCAGTATAATATTTTTAATTTTTTTTTCTTTTCTTTTTTTTTTTTTTTTTTTTTTTTT